TTCCTTTTTCAATTCTTTTTTCATTCAAAGAGTTTTACCTCTTAAACATAAAATACAACAATTTAAAATATATTCTATCAAAAGAACTATCAAATGTCATTATTTTAAATTCCGAATAAGTGTAAAAATTACACTTATCATCTTGGCCAACTTTTGCAGTCAGGGCAATTTTGTACGCTTATTAATATATTTAGTAACCCATGCATAACGAATTATTGTTCGAGTGACGTCTTTACTCCAATCATTAGTTTCCACCATAGAAAATACCTTTTTCTGTAGGACTAAGTCAAACATTTTTCAAGGACTAAATTAAAGAAAAATTATTTAAGAATTAATTTCACTCAAATAAATATGGTATTTATAACAAAGGTGGGTTCCGGTGGTCGAAGGTGGTGGCGGTGTAGAAAATGGCAATGGCTGGTTGTGGGGAGAGCTTTGGTTGGATTAAGGGTTTAGATGGTGGATGCTACGTTTTTGTGAATCGTAAATTCGTAATGTACGCATGAACAACAATTTGATCATGAAAGAGTGTCGAGGTTTGATACTAAAATGACGAAAGATGCAATCGAACAAACCGTCAATTTGGGCAAATAAATCCCTTTTCTAATTTGCCTTGTTTTGGTCAAATTTGTTAAATTCCACCAAGTATGGACAAATATGCCCACGTGTAGTCAATATTCACATGTTCATTGTATTTTTAGTTTCCTCACAAGTGTAAGCCTATGGATTTGACAATCTGTTTATAAGCATTCAAAGTTTTTTTTTAAGGAGAGTAATACTTTTCATAATCAGCGACTGGAGTAGTTATCTTATGTGTCAGTTTGTTATTGACGTATTACCTTGTTATTTTAGACAATAAAATTACAGAAAATCAATATTTCAAATAACAAGCTAGCACATAGAATGTCTCATAGGGTGACTACTATAGTCATCGACTACAAATAACATTATTTTTTTGAGAATGGTGAATTAGAGATGTACAAGGAAAAAAGAGTAAAGTGGAGAGGCTCTTTTTTTAAAAAAAATTTTGCGGGCGGCCATTTGTAATAACATTCCCATGAAATAATAATAATTTAATAGAAGTACAAGGTATATTGCATAATGTTTAAGATAAAATGTATTTCAAGATGCTAATTTACACAAGATTACCATATTTGAAATTTTTTACTCCAAGTTTCATCTTTTAAATTGTCCTCAATAAGTTATTGGGATCACTTTCTGGTGTAATAATATACTAGGTGCAAGTAACGTGCAATGCATGTTTGCTTAATTTATATTTAATAGTTTTGTTTAAGAATTAATTTGTTATCAATAAAGATGTAATTTTTTTGGTTAATTAAGGGCGTGTCTGGGTGCGCTGCAAGGAGGAAGGAAAATTGATTATGTTACCATTTTTTTTCAAACTTACAGCTCTACAGTGAGAGAATTGGTCCAAAATTGCGGCTCCCAACGGCATGAATTGTGCTGCCAAGGGCTTGATTTCTGCTGAAAAGCAGAAACAGACACCATCTAAATAATTAATGATGTAATATTTATGTAATTGATAAATAATTAGATGTGTGATTTTGATGTTGTGATATAGGTTGGTGAGATTGAAGAAAATAAGCAAAAGTTGACAAATTTGGAGAAATGGCTAAATTGTAAGGGATCCAAAGTTCGGGGATTAAAATGTAAAGACTTAAAAGCTGTGCCGAATCTCATGATGAAGATTTGAGAGTGCTCGGAGTCAATTGGATAAACGAAGACGTCAAGATGATCAAATTTAATCAAAAGATGATCACAAATCAATTTCCAACCGAAAAGTTATGCTCCGATGTTTTAGTCTCATATTGAGACCTATTTTTGGCATAGAAAGTGATCGAATTGGATGATGTCTGAATCAAAATTTCAGCCAGATGAGTTAGCTTTCCAACGCATTTTGAATCACCTCAATCGGATATCGGAATACAAAGTTATGATAAAAACAATGAAAGAAGGTGCAGCTGCTTGTTTAAAACAAGAAATTTCATTACATAATCCGTTAAAACAACAAATTATGTTAGTTTTTCCGTTAAAACAAGAAATTCCGTTACATAGCCACTTTTAATATATAGAAGATATTTGTAAGGAGATCTTTAAAGATATTAAATGTTTTAGAAATTCACTTTATAAATAAATAGATATGTGAATAGCATTGATGAGTCCTTTGAATTGTGTGGTGACTTTATGGGTTTATAAATAATTTATAAATATGGAGGAGTTTAAAAGTTGTAAAATATTAAACAAATGCATTTTAAGACAAAATAACAATTTAGAAGGTAAAAACCTTCAAAATAATAACGCATTTGAATTAATAATTGAGGGGGATGCATTACTGTCGAACAGGCGATAGATCTCGACTAATGAACAATAACATCATTTAGAAAATTGTTATACTTTTTGAACACTTATAAATGAGAATGGAAGAAGTACGTTATGTTTTAAGAATAATGTTGTCTAACATTATGCGGTGGTATTAGATGAGTATTAAGCCCTTACATTTAATTGAATATATTATTTAACACTACAAGTATTGCTACCTAAGTGTTAAGTAGCACAATTGCTAAATAACCTTATCAAAATCTCATTCTGAATGACACCAAGTACAAATACAAATTTAGAGCATCAATCTAATATTATCACAATCTAAATAAAATTTCTAAACCATTCAAATCGAGAACGTTGCAATGTAACAGCAATCAATAAGAGCATATATAAAGACATGGATTTCAAGTCCATGACAAGTTATTATCATGACCGTTCATTGAGTTTATTATCACGAGCGTTCATTGAATTTTCTAAACTTGGTATGAAAATTCACATGTTTAATTGTCATCATTGAGTTTATTATCTTGAGCGTTCATGTGAAGAGATTTTAACATATAGACATGTTCTAGTTTATATTTTGTAGTTTTCAAATATAATCCACGAGTAGACAATGTGCTAGTCACGAACCAGGAAGGCTATAATTCATGTGATTGATCCTACTATCAATCAATCCGTCATACAAAGGCGTAACTCCGGCTCTCTCTACGGGTAGAAGGAGGGACAACAGCCTTGTCAAGGCGCGGGCCAAGCCAACTCAAAGTGAAGCGAGTTATACAGAGCAAGAACCTGCACTAGAATAGGAAAAGCGAGCCAAACCTTCTTATTCATAATTCAGTAGACAAATAATATTTGATTCAAGCAAGGATGAGATATATATTGGATGCAGAGTTTTCTACATCATAAATGGCGTTCGAGGCCATTGTGAAAATGGAACGAAGATGATGATTCGTACTACTTAAGGCTTTTCATTGTACAAGTTTAACTCTGTTAAAAGTTACTTTTCGAAGTTAAATATTAATGTTAAACATATATCTTATAGGATTCACAAGTAGTATCCACTTATTTATTACTCATTTCTTGAAAAGTAACTTTTTAGTAAAAGAAAATTAAACCTAAACAGAGGCATATCTCGTTTGCATTTTAGTTTTTTTTTTTTCTAATATTTATCTCAATTCGAATTTTAATGATTATCTTTTAATTAGAAGCACATGTAGTGGTGAGTTTGATTAATGAAAAAAAGAATACAACTTTGGTGGCTAGACAAGACCTCAAGCAATGGATGACTAAAAAAATAAATAAATAAAATTATCTCAAACTGTTGTGATGATACATGAAATAAATCGAGAAGAATTTGATCAAATTTTAAAGGAATCTCTATTTTTCATGGGTCTTCATGCGTCTTTTAAGGTACTTGTAAAAATCGTTAGTAGGAAGATCAAATCCTCGATATTGTACTAATATTTTTGCATCTTCACACTGCACCGTCATCCAATTTGACTCACATCCCATCTTCATCATGCTCTTCGAGCTGACGAACTCTCAAATCTTGCCTCATTTCTTGATCCGCTGCGTCATAGTGGTGGCAATCCACTCAGCATGCTAGCAATAAGAAACATCGACATACTATGGATATGTCTATGGCTTCTCCATGCTATCATTGTGTCACAACTCTTTCTCATTGTCTCAAGGAGTCAAATAAGAACGTGATATCACTAGTATCGAAGATTAGATGTGCTAATTAATGAAAGTTAAAACTTAAAAATAAAAATAGAGTAAAAAAAGTTGCAGACATAAAAATACAGTCAATATAACCATTGTTTAATAAATTATATATATAGCTAAAATATGGCATTGACATAGTCTATATGGTGTGCTTGAATATTCAAAGTAAAACCACACTTCCGGTACTTATGCCATAATATCTTCAAATGGGCTTCTAGATATGCTATAGCTTTCAAAACTCATCAAATGTGTGTGTTGAAGGGACAAGCATTTTAGATTGCCAAACTGTTGCAGTACATGTTATTTATTTTCATGACTTGTAAGCTCTAATTTATTAGTGCACTTATGTATTTTTAAGTTATTAAATAATATTTCACGGAGTAAGACAAATACGTGATCGATACGTTGTTGATCGTGATTGGACCGACCTAATTTAGTTTCTATTGATTATTAAAATTTTCAAAAAGACCCAAAGAAGTAGAGACTTTTCTCGACGATATTAAGTTTGATACTTTCAAGAAAAGTTGCTCGTAAAAGTAGCAGAGCTAAACATACTATGTCCGTGTTTGGTTTAATTAAAAGTTTACATTAGAAAAAATTTAAAACAAAATCAACAATTAATTATAATTATACATTTTATCAGACCCGCAACTTTTAATCATTTATTCCATCAACTTTTATCATAATTTAATAAAAAATCAATTTTATCTAAACCAAACTTCTTTGATCGGGCTCAAAAATGCACAAAATGTTTGATATTGGTTAAAGACAAGATCACATTGATAAGTAAGAAGTCTTAAACTCATGCGTTGATGTCTACATCAAGTAGTGCAATTTATTGAAAAGCAAGCAAACAAGTTGCTTGTACATTAACTTATTCATTCAACAATACTTGTCCCCCAAGAACGAGAGGGTTGTAAAGGCGCGAGTAGTTAGCATCTCAGATTGTTGCCAGGATTAACTTGAAATTTATTGCAGTAGTTAGTGTAATATTGAACTCGAGCATTAACAGCGCCCGAATTACCACCATTGCATTCAATACTATTAATAGCCCGAATTGTAGCTCCAAAACCTTGGCCTGAAGTTATAATATTGTGACATTGATTCATCCAAAACCAGAGAGCAGTCTTGAACGACACTACGCTGTTTGTGGCTACAATTTCTGGATTTCTTAAACCATCAAAACCTATGCTTCTACCAGCTGGTCCATAGTTGTAGTTCCACGATAGTTGTAGAGGACCTCGCCCATAGTAACCCTTGCCAGGGACACAAGGATACTGTTGGTTATTCGGGTCGCAATAGTTTTTAGATGGGCCGCCTATTTCCTCTCTATAGCAGAAATCTACACAACGAAGTCATTTTTTTTTTTTTTTGGTTAAGAATTTAAACCCAGTAATCTTAGAACAGGTTATATTAGCAATTAATTATTGCTACGAAAATAATGCATTCACATTAAAATTACAACTAGCTGTACTTTATCACTTTTCAACTAAGTTCATGCATTTCATTTTAGCTTAAAAGTAACTCATTTGTAATAAGTAAAAGTTGCTTATTTTGTCAGTAAAATGGGAGTTGCTTTCAAATAGTTAAAAACTTACGTCCAGTCTCATGAGTAACATGAGCAAAGAATGCAGCAATCTCGCGTTTGGAATCATCTGCGGAACCAACAGTCCCGAACTTTGGATATGAACGAATAGCTTCGAGAAATGCTGCTCTCGTGTAGAATCCCTTTCCGGCACAATTTCCGGCAGCTTGATTAGCAATACCATTGAAGAACGCATCTGTCACAATATTAGCAACCGTACCTCCGTTGGTGGGTGAAGCATAGCAAGGGCCGGCCCGGCACCCTGTTCCACAGTAGTCATTACCAGTGCCGCAATAACCAAATTGGCTGCAGCATAAGTTCGGTGCACAGCCGCAATTCTGGCCGGAAACCCATTTCGGCGAGGTTCCGACCACAACTACTACCAGAATAGTTGCTAGCAGATATTTTCTTGAATAGGAGAAAACCATTTTTTGTGTAGGGGAAATGTTAGTTGCTAGAAATAAGGGCAGAACGACGGCTCTTTATAGAGCATTGGACTACAGTACATTTGCACAAAAAATGCAGTCAATTCTGCTGGAAACGTGTATGGTTTGGCATGTTATATGACCGACTTTGATTCTGTCAATAAATTGTTACAAAATGAGTTTAAAAAAAAAAAAAGATTTAAGTCCATGCTTAGCACGGATGCAAATTTTAATTTTAATTTCAGTGAAAGTCAACAATTAATTTTAATTATATATTTTACGGACTCACAACTTTTCAACCATATATTTCATTAATTTCTATCAAAATCTAATAAAAATCTGATTTTAACCCCCCCCCTCCCCTCCCCCAATCAAACCTTAAGAAGTAAATCATATAATCTGTATCCCCCCATCAAGGTTGCATATAATAGCTAGTAACATTGAATAATTGAAATTTTCAATCAAAATCACTAACCAATTGCTATGTATCCCCTATCAATTTAGAATGGAGAGGAAAATAAAAAGAATCGAACTAGTTACTCATTATTCAAAAGTGCTCTTTATAGTTGAAAATCGAAAAGAGAAGGTGAGTATAATTTTAAATTTTAAAATTTCATCCACTATAACCTTTGCTTATAAAAGGAAATGGTGGTGAGACTCTCTCTACATCTAGGGATTTTGCGCACTAGATAAAACAAATTGACCATGGTTTACATGCATAAACTTGGGCGATCATTAGCCTTATCTCATGATGAGGATGGAGTTCTACATGTGGACTCAACCAAAATTCATAAAAATATCTCTGAAACCAAGTTTATGTCAAGGAATCAATGATTCAATATTGGCTAATTATCGAAAGGTAGACCAATATGTAATGACATACTAAGTTCGATTTTTAAGATGGAATCTCGAGTCTTAAAATGATAGCAGAGTCTATTAAGTTCTAACAAACAATTCAATCCGATTAAAACTTAAAAACAAGCACACAAATTTGAAGTTCAATGCACTCAAACAAGTCATCATTTTGTTGGGACGTGTTAAGGAATAAATCTCATATTAACGAATTACCAAAATGGATCAAAATATAAGAATTTAGACTATTTCTCTTAACAAGATTGACATTTTATGATAAAATTACAAGTCTTAATAGTTTGGACAATCGAATTTAAAATCTACGAACGAACTCCAATATTGTAGTATATATTAAAGATGAATTTCATAATATTTATACGATATTATTATTACAGTCTTTTCAAAATATAAAAATCCGTAAAGAACAACTATGACATATTTAAATAAGTATTATTACATTTTGAACAATATCGTTGCGTTATTGCATTTTAAAAATTATTATTATTAGTGAAGTTGTGCCATTCGGATTAAAATCTTGAGTTTGCCCTGGCTAGGCCTAGCATGCTAGGTTATTGCCAGGATCAACTTGAAGTTGATTGCAGTAGTCTCTGTAATACCCGATACGAGTATTGACCGTGCCTGGATTAGCACCATCGCATTCAAGAGGACCATTAATAGCCCGAATTGTAGCCCCAAAACCTTGACCCAATGTTATGATATCGTGACAATGATTCATCCAATACCATAATGCAGTCTTGAACGACACTATGCGATCTGTTGCTACGATGTCTGGGTTGTTCAAACCATCAAAGCCTATACTATTCCCTGCTGGTCCGTAGTTGTAGTTCCAAGATAGTTGTTTAGGACCTCGCCCTTAGTAACCCTTGCCAGGGACACAAGGATACTGTTGGTTATTCTGGTCGCAATAGTTTTTAGATGGGCCGTCTATCTCTTCTGCGTAGCAGAATCTGCATAAAGAAATCAATTTTTTTCTTAAGAAAAATTTACTCTAAACTTCAATTTGAGAAGGCTATGCTAGAAGTTATTGCTATGAAATAATATGACGAGCTCATCGAAAGAAAATGGAGAATTTCAGCAACTTACGTCCAGTCTCATGCGTAACATGGGCGAAGAATGCAGCAATCTCGCGCTTGGAATCATCGACAGAACCAACAGTCCCGAACTGTGGATCGGAACCAAGAGCATCAAGAAAAGCTGCCCTTGTGCAAAATCCCTTTCCAGAACTATTTCCGGCAGCTTGATCAGCAATGCCATTGAAAAATGCATCCATCACGATATTAGAAACCGAAACTCCATTACTAGCTAGTGGGCGGAGCATAGCAAGGACCTCCTTGACACCCTCTGCCACAATAGTCATTGCCAGTTCCACAATAGCCATATTGGCTGCAGCACAAGTCCGGTGCGCAGCCGCAGTCCTGAGCAAAAACCCCATCCGGCGAGGTTCCGACCAGGAATATGGCCAGAAAAATTGCTAGCAGATACTTTCTTGAAATGAAGAAAACCATGTTTTTTCTATTTGGTTTGGATTAAAATCCAATTAAAATCAATAATTAATTTCAATCACACATTTCATGGAAACCAAAACTTTTTAATTAGACATTTTATCAACTATTATTAAAATTTACTAAAATTTTGATTTTAATTTCTACCAAATAGGGATTTAAGTATCATTCGTTCTCCTAACTCATTATTATACTGATATTCATTCTTCAAATGAAATTACAGAAACGACTGAATATGTAGTAATTGAACTGCTACATCCTCCTGAGATTCAATTCCGATACATCGTACCACTTTTCATTATTTTTACTTTGGCAATTCAATATTTTATACTCCATATTCTTATTCAATAGTTTTTGAGGCTTTATCATGAAAATTTGTCTAATTCAATACCTTTACGGAGAAGACAAATGTTACGAGGTTTCTATGTTTATAAAAGACAAGGGTATTAATGTAATTTGTGGAGAGTTTATGTCTACATCCCGTAATTTCTGCGTTTACAGAGCCAACGGTAAAAAATTTCTTGTAGGCCAATAGGCTTTTAATGGGCAATAAATAATAATTTAATGAATTGTAGTTTGAGGAGAGCTTTTGTCCACTAGTAGGGGGCGCTATGGACACCCCTATGGGTACTCTTAGCATAACCCTATTATACTCAACTCTATAAAAAAGGGTACTCTTAGCATAATCCTATTATACTCAACTCTATAAAAAGGGGTACATAATTGTAAACCCCCCCCCCCCCCCCCCCCCCCCCCCCCCCCCNGTGCATGAACTTAAAGGGTATGATTCAACATCGACAATGCCAAACGTAGACATTTTGAGTCAGGGACACACTCAAATTTGTAAAAAAAAAAATTGTGAAAAAATTAAATTATTCTATATTTTATTACAATTATTCTCTATGTTTTCTCATATTTTGATAACGTTCCATATTTATGGGTCCGTTTGACATGACTTTTGAAAAGTCAAAATGAGATTTTGAAACCTAAAAACTGTTTTTGTCCCAATTTGGGTAATTTTATAAAAGTGCTTCTTTTAATAAATTTTTTTTATGTCAAATTTTTTCTATCAAAATTGCTTTCTTTATTCTGACATTGTTGTCAAAATGTCTTAATTATAGTTGGTGTTCAATATTATTTGTCAATGTTTTGAGTTATTGACAATTTTTTTAAATATTTATCACTTTTTGAATTTTTGTCACTTTATTGAATAGCTTCCAAATTCAAATTAATATGTAGTTAATAGAAGTGAAATATAATAATAAAGAGACAACATGCAACAAAACACTATCATCCCTTGGATCTCTTCTAAGATTTTGATTGATGTTAAATATTAGTTGTTAGTTTTAAATGTGTTTTGTTACTTTTTTGAGTTTTTTTTAAAATTTTTTAAAAATTTCTGTCATTTTGTTGAATTGATTCTAAGGTTTTCATTAATTTTTTGTCATTATTTTTAGTGTTTGTCACATTTTTTAGTGTTGCCACTTTTTTCAAATTTATGTCACTTTTTTTAGTTTGTCTTTTTTTTTTTTAATTTCCAGTCACCTTTCTGAAATTACTGTCACTTTCTTTTATTTATTTTTTTTTTTTGAATTTTTGTCAATTTTTTAAGCGACATAAATCATTTTTAATTAAAAAAAGTGATGTGTATTTTTTACTTCCAAAACACTTTTCATATGATTTTTCAAAAGACCCCCTAATTTTAGGGATATTTTTGCAAGTTCTCATTTTAAACTCTCCTTCTCTTCCTCTTAAGACTCACGAGTCTATTCCACAATTTAAAAATTCTAATCCATTGAAAAAATCAATGTTTTAAAATCGACTCGACTATCGATCCGAAAAAGAGAAAGAGTTAAGGGTCAAAAGGTTGAACCAGAATCAAACCGATGATTTTTAATTTTTTTTTAAAAATATACATTTACAAAAAAAAAAAAAAAAAAAGAATGAAAAGTAATTTTTTAAAATCAAATCACAAACCACAAAAATAATAAAAAATAGTCATACTTAAGAAAGAAAAGTAATTTTTTTAAAATCAAATCACAAACCACAAAAATAATAAAAAAATAATCAAACTTGAATTAAATTTTGATTTTAACTAAATAGTGAAAATAACTTTTAATGTACTAAAATGGTTATTGTTTCCCAAACATATCTTTATATTCTTGTTGGAAGAGAAGATTCAAGAAACTAATTGGAATGATGAATAAGTTAAGAGAGTAGGGTTTTAGTGTAAATAAGAATTCCAAGAGTCTGTAAGTACTGGCTATGCTTTTAAATTTTATTGAGGGGGATGCATTACTATCTAACAGGAGATAGATCTCGAATAATGAACAATAACATCATTTAGAAAATTGTTATACTTTTTGAACACTTATAAATGAGAATGGAAGAAATACGTTTTGTTTTAAGAATAATGCTATCTAGCATTATGTGGTAGTATCAGATGGGTATTAAGTGCTTACATTTAATTGAATATACTATTTAACATTACAAGTATTGCTATCTAAGTGTTAAATAGCACGATTGCTAAATAATATTATCAAAATCTCCTTCTGCATGACACCAAGTACAAATACAAATTTAGAGTACCGATCCAATATTATCACAATCTAAATAAATTTTCTAAATCGTTCAAATCGAGAACGTTGCAATGTAACAGCAATCAACATGAGCATATATAAAGACACGATTTCGAGTCAATGACAAGTAATTATCATGAGCGTTCATTGAGTTTATTATCATGAGAGTTCATTGAATTTTTTAAACTTGGTATGAAAATTCACATGTTTAATTGTCATCATTGAATTTATAATCATGACTGTTCATGTGAAGAGATTTTAACATATAAACACGTCCTTGTTTATATTTTGTAGTTTTCGAATATAATCCAAGAGTAGACAATGTGCTAGTCACGAACCACAAAGGCTATAATTCATGTGTGCCTCCAAGTAAACAAATGATATTTGATTCAAGCAGGGATGAGATATATATTGGAATCGGAGAATGGCGTTCGAGGCCATTGTGAAAATGGAACAAAGATGATGATTCGGACTACTTAAGGATTTTCATTGTACAAGTTGATAATTCATAAAAGAATAAAAAAAATAGTATTTATGAAAGGTTTTTATGCGACACCAAGTTACATAAAAATGTTAATTTATTTTTATAAATTCAATATTTAACTATTTAATATTAATAAAACAATAAATATGTCACAATCAATATAATTTAAAATCAATAATCTCTCTATATATATACTTCTATAACTTTGTTAAAATTTACTTTTCGAATTGAAATATTCATGTTAAGCATATACCTTCTATGATTTACAAGTGTTGTTGGAATTCGGGTGTGATCCGAATTCTTTTGTTGAAGTACTTGAAGTATTGAAAAATTTTAATTGAAGTGCACGCCATGAAGAATTCAAATTTGGAATGTTATTGAAATTCTATATCAAGTTGAAGTTCTATTTTGAATGTCCATTGGAGGTTGAAAATTGATATCGGACTTAAAGAAGAGTTCGAAATGGAGAAGAACATCATTGGAGGCATTTTGAAATTTTTTGGGATGTAATCCAGCGCCTAGGGTCGCAGCGCCTATGGGCCAGCCCTGGGGCCCAGAAGCTAGCCCCGGCGCTTAGGCGCTACTGCCTATGTTCCTTTTTTCGATTTTTTCTCTCCTATTTCATTTTGAACTCGATTTTTTGGCATTCTAATTCATCAACAGCTCTACCAAGAGGGTTTGGACGTCCCCTACATATTTCTTATAAATATTAGGCTCTCTACACAATTTTACAATATGAGAAAACAGATTACTAGAATTATATGATCCATTGTGTAACGCCTCGACCTGCATGGATCGAAAGTCAGAAGATTAATTTTACTTTACCCGTAGACCGCAGACTTAATTAAATAATTAACTATATAGCAACATACAAAATATGCAACTTACAACAACATACTTGATATGCAACCAATATACCATATATTGTCCAGAATCGAGTGAGCTTGTAGGAGATTGAAGAAAAAGCTGACGCGCTTCGAGAAATGCAGGCCAAGGTGGAGAAAGAGATGGGTGCCGCTCGAGGTATTACATTTATGAAATTAAGTTTTATAGGTCTATTAATTCTTGGCTTTTATGCGGTGTAATTGGATGTGTTAGTTCTGTGATCTATCGTTTTGTGGGTTTACTTTCCACAAAATTGTGTATGCTGCTGTTTGGAGAATACAAGCATATAAGGGTTCAGGCTGAAGCTATTGGATAATTAGGATTTTATTGTTTTGACTGAATGTGGGCTTAGGTTTGTTGGTTTATGACTGAAGTTTTCTGTTTTTAGGTGACTTGAGTTTGTGTGTTCAATTCTTCAGAATTCTTCAGAATTTTCTATTAAAAAGAGTTCTTGATCACCTACAGATTATTTACTGGTGTGGTCTGCTAAAGGCAAGCTATCTATAAGGCATATCGACAGAACTGATGTTGTTAACCTTAATTTTCTTGCTCAAAAATCTGAAATTATATGCATATAGTTAGATGGCACATCACACAGGTGAATCTGAAAAGGTTTTAGGCGAGGCACATTCATCTTTCATTCATTTCAATATATGCTCTGAAATATGCTCTGTTCTAAATTTTGGTTAAAGGTATGGACTTTTTGAAGGAGGTGCTGTGCTTGAGTTATTATTTCGAATTGTACTATTATTGCTTTGTTTGATTGTACTTAATTTGCTTTTATTGTGTTCCTTTTGTGAAGTTCCATGCTGATCAATTGCTTACTAATATGTTACCTTAAAGAAATGGAAAACTTTATGTACTTAAATGTATTCAGATTTATCTGTTGTGAAATTCTCTTTTATATATCACAATAGTATGTGAGAAAACAGTGTTTTATTGAGGTTCAAGAACTCATCCTATTATGTTTAAAGATGAAAGT